GCGAAGGTTAGAACAGGATAGAAAAAAGTAGTGGTGCGTGTCCAGTCTTAGGACTGACGATCTTGTAATGATGATAATGATGATGATGATGATGATGATAGTACAAGTTAGGGTAAAACATTTACCGAACACATTTAATTAATTAATGATTTTGGTTCTCAATTTGCCTATACTGTAGATATATAGTTATAGTAAGGATAACGTTAAATGTCTTTGGAAAGAAACTCTTTTGGTACTGTTTGATCCTTGTCGGTGTTTTCGCGCTCCAGTGGGCAAAATTAGCCAATTAATTGTCAACAGTTTTCCCCATATTTGGATGTGCCAACTCAGCTTAAGTTAAGGATCATTAAAACTCGTAACCACAGGCAACAGGAGCACCTCCGCGCCGTCCCCCTTCATCGGCACTCGCTGCATCACGCACATCCATTTCTTATTATTCTCCGTATCCATCAGGAGTGAATCAAGCTCTGTCTCCTTCGGTCTTTCTTTCTTCTAATACGTGCCCGCAACTCAGTTTCTCACACAGGTCTTGTATTATAAATTGGCTTAATTACCTGTTAAGTTACAAAATTAATTAGACATTTACCTAACGAGGAAACGTTGAAGGAAAAAGTAACAGAGAAATGAAATACGTATTTATATAAATGAAGTCCAAATTCAGTATAAAAATAGTTGATTAATTGGTGACGATTTGTCGTCTTGCAGAATTTTGGTGAATGTTTTACTATTCATAACAATTATTGCTTTGTTTCAACCGTCTCGGAAAAAGTCCTTTGGCGAAAAATTACAGACCGGAATTACTTAAGACACTTCAAGATTCGGGAGAACGCCCATTCGATTCCGGGTCCATATTTTTGAACATTTGGACTTGAATGATTGATCTTACTTTGGTGAAGGTATGGTATTTAATAGAAAGTCCACCTGAATGAAGCGAGCGGAATGAATCAGAGGTTTAGGATAGCACTGATCCGATTCCTGGACCATCTATCCTGATCCAAGTTCTTCTAGATCAATTAGGCATATGCTGAGGCAGTAATATTCCATATATAAACTTTTACTCTCTTCTGTTTTCAATGCGCCTGTTTCTACCCAATGATTCCCATAATTCCTAAGAGGACTACCCGTCCACCATCATTAGTAGCTGGTGGTACACCCAAAAGTCAAGACGTCTTCTCCGTTATTTTTCCTCGTCCAACATAAGAGCGGCAAACATAAAATTTTCTTAGAACCACATATCTTTCACACCTACTTCAATGGTTTACTGATATATACTACGGAAAAGAAAGGCAGCTAAGCTTCAGGTGTGAATATTATCAAATTGTATAGAACGTTTACAGAATAGAAACGGAATGTACAGTGAGAATCGACCTTTATTATACGGCGCAGATTTTGAAACGATAACAATTCTGAAACAATAATGTTTGCGTCGAAGACTAAACTCGAAGAAAACCCGTTTCTGTTTCCTTCACACTCGCGCTCTCTCTCTCTCTCTCTCTCTCTCTCTCTCTCGGCATATACTTAATAATCAAACTGCGTTTGTAGACGAAACAGAAACGGCTTTGTCGTGGAGTTTGTTTTTTTTTAAGTATTGTAATTGTGAGAAAATTCTGCCCATCGCCCGACATTTTTAATCGTGTGAATATTTATTTCGTATTCCAAGTGTCTTCATCTGCGATTTTGTTAATTGGGATCTACAAGATGTAGAAAATTTTCACTTTTATAATTACATACCTTTGTAGTGCGCTGAAACTATTAATAGTTTATTATTATTTACGAAATTCTAAAGATTTCTTTCCTTTGCAGTTTTTAAATCAGGCGCGTAATAAACACTAACCAATCAGAGTGAGTTGATATCGCTGCAAGTGAAGTAGTACGTAACTGCGATTGGTCTGCAATGACTTGCACCAAAACAAAAGCTCTGTGGTTGGTTACAGTTAGTTCCTTTAATTTGTAATTGTTAATTGTTCGATAATTATTTAACGGGCCGGAAAGACGTAGGGAAGGATATTGTTTGAAAATTTTCAAGGAATCGGATGGTGCATTTTATATCACTAAGCAATCAGAGTGAGTTGATGTCGCTGCAAGTGAAGTAGGGTACTACGTAACTGCGATTGGTCTGCAATGACTTGCACCAAAACAAAAGCTCTGTGGTTGGTAATCTAGTTGCTCTAATTTGTAATTGTTAATTGGTCGGTAATTATTTAACGGACCGGAAAGACGTAAGGAAAGATATTGTTTGAAAATTTTCAAGAAATCGGATGGTGTATTTTATATCACTCGAGATCCGTTTTTTAAACTTGATCGGGAGGTTTTGGGGATACACTAAAGTCCCTTTTTGATTATCTACAATAAGTTGCAGAAGGCGGTAAGGTAGAGATCAGAGAGAGAGAGATAACGTAGCCTCCGGTATTGTCTTCACCCCTAGCGCCCTTCTATTAAATTCTATTAATTACCGTTTCGCTCCGAGTCTTCCGATACAAAATCGTTACCATGCGAGATGCCACGCGTTGTGAACACGTTCGATGCTGTTTAGATGCACGGTAACATTTGTCAATTTGTCGTCTTCATACGACACCAGGATGTTGGGCACATTTGCTGACCAAATTAATTCCGATGTCAATATTCCATGTAACTTATAATAAAATTACAAATTGACGTTGAGAACGGGCGCCTCTGGCTTAAAATGTATTAGGTGATAACGAAAGAATAGGATATTGTTATCGTCATAGCATTGTCAGTCCCAAGACTTGTTGGACATGCATCACCACTCTTTCCTATCCTGAACTAATTTTTCTCATTTTCCTAAAAATAGAACATCCCAGATCCTTAACTATTTGAAAATAGTAATCTAATCTAGGTCTACATCTACTCCTCTTAACACCTGTTTCTGCTTCTAATATCTCATACCTCCTCGCTTCTAACCTTCTGTCTCCACGGTATCCTCATTATTCGCCTGAAACGCCGCGCTCCAAACATACCTTTAACAACCTTATATCCCTACCACTCCTTCCGGCCTGACTTATCTGACTTCCTGTGTATCTAAAATCAGCCACTTTTTCGTCTAATTTTTCGTCTCCTATCTTTATATTCGCTCTTTCCTTACTTTTTCTTCCCTTGCATACCAGAATTTTTGTTTTACTTATATGTATTTTCATGCAATACTCCTTGTTAAATACTGCTTCCATTTATATTGTAATCCAAAATGAACCGTAGAATTAGCAGTACCTTCAGTTGCAGCTGGCTGTCGCTGCTTAATAGATAGATGACGTTTGCTGGTCAAAGAGGTCTTCTCCATCTTCGTCTTATTTTAAAGCCAGTGAAAACGTTCCGCAACATTTAAAATGTAATCGCTTTCAACCGGATACAGCTTTGTGATTATTAACCGAAGGACGAACCCCTGCCACGCTGGGTAGGTATACGGTATAACTACAATCTTACCTGTAACCTCTTCGGCGATATATGTATAAAAGATAATGAACAGCGAATTTTCCCAAGTCAAAGGAGAACACTGTCTTCTTTTATATGCGTCTTCTAATGTACTTCATTACAATTAGTCCACAATGTGTAAAAGATGTTAAAGTGCATTTAATATCTACCTATAACATTTTTCTCATGTGTTTGTAATGCCTTTGCTATTTCGAAGACCACAACGTATCGATAAATGACCATAACGAAAATATTGTCAGATTACATCAAAAAACGTAAGCACAATGTTGCTGTTGGACAGTATACCGAAATGGTGGTGAAGTTTGACCACAACGTAGAAAATTAATAGTCTGTTCTGTTTGACCACAACGTTAAGTACTGTTTCTATGCTCATACTGATAAAAAATGTGATTTTTTATACATAAGTTTTAGTAAGTAACCACAACGTAATAACTAGAAGAGGTTGTGTACAATTCTGACTTTCTACAAAGTATTAAACATATAGAATTATGTGATCTGTTTGACCACAACATTAAATATTGTTTTTATGATTACACTGATAAAAAATGTGTGTTTTTATACATAGGTATTATTAAGCAACCACAACGTAATAACTAAAAGAAGTTGTGCACAATTCTAACGTTGTACAAAGTAATAAACATATAGAATTGTGTTCTGTTTCACCACAACGTTAAATATTGTTTTTATGATCACACCGATAAAATAATCTGATTTTGATGCGTAGGTATTATTATGTAACCACAACGTAATAACTAAAAAAATTGTATACAATTCTGACTTTCTACAAATAAACATATAGGATTATGGATTCTGTTTGACCACAACGTGATACATATCGATTCTGTAGCCACAACGTAATAATAACTTCTCTTTTATTGATTGAAACAATATTTAAATGTTTTACCAAGCAGTTAATCCATAATGACGAATAATGTTAACCAGTATAAATTTTTTACCATGAGGTTTAAGTAATCAGATACAATTATTAAAATGTATTTATAAATTCAGATGATTTCCAATGCAAAAACGCATTTATAATGCATTTATAATCACAATGATAGTTTCTGTTCTGCATTCAATTAACGGTAGTTTAAACTACTACATTTTGTCTAATTATGTAGGATAGGCTGAGTGTTGAACATTGATTAACTTACATCTAGCTTAAAGAGATCCTGTATTAGGTATCTGTTAACCATATTTTCGTGTACAAAATTACCAGGAGCCGGGGCAAAGGCAGACGAAACGATTTTCAATTTTCTTCCTAAGGGTTCGCTTCTGTGTAGCAGCGAAGTCACCGGTTGCTCGTTATTAAATTATCATAAAAATTCAGTCTCTTCTACGCTCGTCCGGATTGAATTCTAATTGACGATTTGTCTTCTTTGTCATCAACATCCTCACTTCATCATCTCTCCTTGTTGTTATTAGGTCGGCGAAGAACGACAATACAGAACGTTTAAAATTTCTATTTCATCTGTAGAACTTTTGATTCAATTTCTCGATAATAGCAGGCCTCCTGTGAAAATGTACTAAATAGTGTTTTTCTTTTGTTATAGGGAGGATTCTACGCCAGGAGCCATAGCGATTCCACCCTCGAATTGTAAAAACGGTACCGAGGGTACGAAAAATGGTACCGTCGCCATTGCGAACGATTTGGAATCGTTGGCGCTGCGACGGTATCTTCAGTGTCCCGGAATGTGCAGGGTAGAAGTGCTGAAGAAATTTATCTGCACCAAGTACAACGTAGACATTAACAAATTTTATGTAAGTGCTTTTACCTAAATATTGTTTCTTTTGAAGTGAAACTTCTTTGCTAGTATCTAGATATTGTTTCTTTTAAAGTGAAACTTTTTAGCGCTCGATGAGAGTAAAATCTCAAGGCCATGAAACGACACGTTTTGCAACGTTTTGTCTCGCGAAGCGCTAGGCTATTTGTATTGTGGTGTGCTAATAAATGCGTATAATCCAAAATTCTTAGAAAACGATTCGAAAAACTTCACTTGTTAGATGAACCCAAAGCTAAAGAAACTATGGATTCCATTTCTTTCTCTTATTACAAAGTGTAAAAGATCGGAAACAAAATGGGGTTGTAAATATTTTGATATAAAATGATTGACGTTGATTTTAGATCAATAACATTATTTGCAACCCTATTTTTTTGCCTCTAAGCATTCACGCTAAACAAACTATTTTGGCATCAGTGTCTTTTTTCCAAAATAATTCATGAAATAATAACACTTGGTTTTGTTTCACTAATCTTTATTTAATATTTAATCCTCTAACATATGTTTCGGCTGTTATGCCATTATCAAAGAGTTATACTGTAAAACTCTTTGCCCTTAAAACAGTAACAGTTTTACAGTATAACTCTCTGATAATGGCATAACAGGCGAAACATATGTTTTACAGTATAACTCTTTGATAATGGCATAACAGCCGAAACATATGTTTTACAGTATAACTCTTTGCCCTTAAAACAGTAACAGTTTTACAGTATAACTCTTTGATAATGGCATGACAACCGAAACATATGTTTTATCGCTTTCAACCG